CGCAAGAAACGCAATCTCGAGACATCTTGCTGCAGCTGTGGCCGAGAGCCGCCTAGAGCGACTCGCGCACCCCTGGGAGTCGGGCGGCGCGCCTCGCACGCACGCGACCACGCGGGATGTAGACTCGCGCCCGCCCCCTGGCGCAACGACAATGCAATCGGCGAAAGAATGAAATTATTCAGACATCGCTCGGCATTCGCTTGCCGGGCGGAAACGCAGTTCCCGGAGATGCCGAGGCCTGAAAAAAACATGGATCCATTAAGCGGCTGCTTGTCGTCTATCCCCATACCTTACCGAACTGCTCGCTGTGCCCATTCCGAAGCTGGCTGGAAGTTGGCCCGTCGCAAGTTGGAGTCCAAGCGATACCTCTCGATGCTGGCGGACCTACCTGTCCTGCTGCTGGACTCGACGCTGCCCCCCGTTCTCGAGGTCTGAAGCTGAACTCGCAGCACTTGGCCCCCATCATCAAAGAGACCAGAAATTCCGAAGATGCTGCTGCAAGATTTCTCGACTGCCGCCTTCAGCTCACACTCTTTGAGGCGTCGCTCTCCAAATTTCCCAATCTCAAGAGGGCGACGGCCGCCGCCCGCGAGATGCACCCTGATAATGCACACTCTAGTCTTTCCGTGGCCGACGCGAACCTCCAGCAACAGGACGCCATCACGATGATCGAGGATGTCGCCTAAGGGGGCCGCATAATACTCCACGGGCGAAGGCAACGGCAACAGTCCAGGGCACTTCCTACCGCCCCCATCCATCAGGTCAATCTTGACGGCGATATCTTGAACCCCTGAGGCTCCGAGCGGACTTCTTGCAACTGCATTTCCTGGGCCCGCCCTGCCGTCGATGCCCGAGAAAGATCCGCTGCTTAATCCCAGTGAGTAGTCCAGGCCCACGTCCTTCAAGTAGCGCCGAACAGAGTCCCCCATCGCGCCCGCGCCGATCAGACCCGATGCGGCGCCAGGGTCCGCACTGAAACCTGTCATTTCCTGTCCACGAACCAAATGCAACTTACCGAAGTGTCCCTGGTTGCTCACCATGGAATAATCCTCTTAACCTGCACATATCCAAAACCATCGCCCATACGAATGCATCCGTGGAAGATCCCCTCTGCGTCTACGAGGAGATCAAAGTCGCTGCAATTCGCCAACTTCAGGTTCCCGTTGATCTGGGGACCTGGGCGGCTTGAACATGAGAAGAGACTTCACTTCGGAGGTCGGCGTTCGCGCGGCAACTTCTGAAACCAAGCCGACGAGATCAAATGAGTACGAACTTCCGCTTACATGCGTTTCTGGCGACGGCTGCGATGGCCCCGAGTCTTGACATGGGCGCTCTGCTTGTGGTCATGGCGCGTGGGAATATGATCACATTGGAACGGAATCTTTTTGCATTGCACGAAAGGAAACTATTGAAACTCGTATACGCGGGCCTACCAAACCCTTCATAGCCACGCTCATACTATGGAACGTCTTCGTACGCATGATCATCATCTGCGCCATAAGTTCCGCAGAAGCCACCGCGGCGGCACCTCCCTGTTATTTTACTTGACCGTCTTCCAACTGTTGAGCGACCGTTCGACATGCTACGATATGTGGCATTTCCTTTGGAATGGCTGCGAAACTTACCTTTCTCCAATACCTCATCTCCTTTGCCGTAATGTGATGAACTGTCTTTGCGTCTGGCTGCTTTCGGGGAGTCCCCGTGGTTCGATGGGCACTCCTGCGGACAATTAAACTTGGAGCCACACAAAAGTACATCCACCGTGATTGTCCTTCCTCGACCCTTTTTGCTTCTGCCCTTGCAGTAATACTCGTCCGATCCAGCAACTGCCGAAGATGTCGGGCCTGATTCGGTCGGGGTCGCTGCTCCCTGAAGGTGTTGTGACCAATCATCATGAGACCAGTCGCCACGATCATTCCGCCAATCTCCTGAATAACAATCATCATAGTCGTCGTACCACTCGTCACCATATTCATATCGAGACCTATCAGTGCAATGCTCGCACAAGTACTGGCCAGCCCGGGAAAGGTGGATCCTGAATGAGTCTCCGCATGGGCGAATCGCTGCAACAATGCGATCAAGTCCTCGAAGCGGGCCAGATTGCCGATAATCTGAATCATGATGTCATCTGCCAGTCGATCAGAAAGGCCAGAAGCATGAGGAAGAAAGGACGATTTGCCAACCGAGTTTCGCTCCAAGCCTGAGTTCATTTAAGCCTCGTCGTATGTCATTCGCCACATAATCAAACATTCACGGAGTTCCAAGCTTCCACGATGATGCATGAAGAAGGCGTCCAGCGGTTGAATGTTCATATAGTGTTCCTGCATGCCAAACTCCTGTTGCAACGCAATGGGTAAGAGTGTAGGACCAGCTGGCTCGGGAAGGAAATTCTCTCCTGCTGCGTTGTGCCAAGCCTCGTGACTCGGCTGTGCCAACAACTCGTCACCGATCATCATACTCACTATGTCGGTGGCCAAGTCGAGGCGGTTTGCCTTGATCGTGTTCGCCAGCTGGAATACTGCTCCTTGGAGCCTGCCGCCGATGGCAGGGCCACAGGCACTCTCTCTCTCTCCAACATCTGTCTGGCGCAACTAGGGACGAAATAATTGCGTACATCGTCGTATAGGATACTCTGGGTTTCTGGCACACCAGACAGACGGGACACTTTTGGTGAATGTGTCCAATGGCAGGCCTGACTCTGAGGATGATCCATGATGTGCCATCTCTCAACGTACTGCTAGACAAAATAAGAAGACTGCGACCAATCTTGAACGCCTGCTCCAAGGATAATGCATTGTGGCTGCCGCTCGTGTCCTCGGAGGCCCCGTTGGAGAACCGGCCGTGCGGACCACCTGGTCGTTGAAACTCGCGGTAGAGGCGCTGGCGGTGCTGCACGTCTGGTAGCCCTGGCGGCGAGCGGCGCCATGGCGGCGGATGCTGAGGATCGGGACACCGAGAGCACACGGACGCTACCAAAGTTGGTTTCTCAGCCTTCTCTAAAACAACTCGAATTACAGTTCATGAGGCATACAGGTCTGTACACATTGCTACCTTTACTGAGAGGGGGAGAGGGGGGGAGGGGGGAAGGGGGAGGAATGGGGGAGGGGGAAAGACGGCGACGCGCAAAAGGGGTAGGAGAGCGGAGGAGGGGTGGGAGGAGGAGAAGGCTAAATGAGAGGAGGAGGAGGAGGAGGAGGAGGAGGAGGAGGAGGAGGAGGAGGAGGAGGAGGAGGAGGAGGAGAGGGGGTAGGAGGAGGATGAGGAGGAGGGGAAGGGGAGGGGGAAGGGGAAGGGGGAGACGAAGGAGGACGAACACGAGAACAACGGGGATGAGGAGGAGGACGTTAGCTCGCCATTCAGGTTCCCAAGTCGACCCCAAACTGCAGTGCTTCACTGTCGTGCCCTTGGGCAGAGACTGGTCAAACCCCACTCCCCCCTCTTCCCCTCCGGCCTCCGTTCCCCCTCACTCCCTCACTCCGCCTCCTCCTCCTCCCTCCTCCTCCTCCTCCTACTCCTCCTCATCCCTCCCATTCCCCCTCCTACTCCTCCCCTCCCACCCCTCCCTGCTGCTCGTCGCGTCCGCTCCTCACTGCCTCGCGTTCCCTGCATACGCTTCGTCTAAAGAGCGCTGCTCTGGAGACGACAAGCAAGCCACGGCTGCGCCGCGCGGACCTGCAATAACTTATGTTTATGCAGTAGTTCACCTGCGGCTTCTCAACCCAAGGCTTTTCGATTTGGGGAACAGAAATTGTGAAGCTCCGCGCGGATTTCTTGGATCGACGCTGGACTCCCCACCTGACGCGCAGAGCGCGCCACAGGCGGCGCTGGAGGCGCCGCCAGTGGGGTCCCAGCGTGCATCCAAGAAACCCGCGCAGAACTCCGACAACTTGTGTGTATGCGTTGATTCCTCGTCTACAAATACACAATATCGGGGATGGACAGACCTCCCTTTAGTAAAACGTGGTTTAGTGAAAACGACCTCGGGCCCAAACCTGGCGGGCGCAAGCCTGGAAAATAACGGCCACGGCGCCCTCTCGAGAACCGAAAACGGACAATTCACTAATCGACGTGTCACTGTTGGGGGTTCTGTCCACCCCCGACAATAAGAATACTACTCTCCTCTCTCCCCTGGTGACGTCCGGGAAATATCCGGCCCCCGTCGGCGTACTGGTTTTTTACACAGGATTCCCAGGAAACGGGTTTTCGCTTGGGCTGTTTTTCAAAATGCTGGTCTCGCTGAAGCGTTGGCCTCATTTCAGGCTACCGCTCGTTCCGAATCGTGCTACCGATGCAGCGCTGGCCTCATTTCTGCGCTTCCGCTCGTTCCGAATCGTGCTCCCGCTGCAGCGCTGGCGTCATTATTTCCAGCGCACTGCCACGGCATGGTTTTCGGTCCCTCCAATTAGGCCCCAAAAGCTAGAAAATGGCCCCCCGGAACAACCATCGGAAGTGATTACACATTCGGTGTCAATTCGTTGACATTTTGGGTCGCACAACCTCCCTCCCCACTTTGGGGCGTCGCCACGCCATGCTATGTCAGGCTACGCGTCCTCCGAATCGTGCTCCCGCTGCAGCGCTAGTCTCGTTTCTGCGCTTCCCATCGTTCTGAATCGTGCTCCCGCTGCAGCGCTGGCGTCATTATTTCCAGCACCATGCCACGGCATAGTTTTCGGTCCTTACAAATAGGCCCCAAAATCCAAAAAAAAACAAAAATGCCCCCCGAAACAACCATCGGAAGGTATTACACATTCGATGTCGGTTCGTTGATTTTTGGGGCCACTTTGGGGCGTCGCCACGCCATGCTATGTCAGGCTACGCGTTGATCTTCAACACCATGCTCTGTAATGTAATGCTATGCCCTGCTACGACTTCCGACTGTGCGAATAGAGAGGAGACCTACGCCATGGTAAGGGAGGGGAGGGAGGGGTAGGACGTCAGATATGACGCGAGCGCACCTCGCTTGACCTTCCTCCTCTCTTCTCTCCTTCCCCGACGCGCGCCTCTTGTCCTCGTCCCTCTCCGCCGTCGTCATCTTCAGCTCGCCCTCGGTCTCTGCGAGCAGCGCCTCGTTCTCCTGAGGCCGCGCCGGCCGCGGCACGCCGCGGCGGCCACACCGTGCAGCAGAGGCTGCAGCTGCTGCTGCGTGGGGACATGGTGGCGGGCGGCAGCGGCGGGGGCGAACGCTGCCGGTTGCGTGGCAATCGACGCCAAACTCAAAAAATAGGACTGTCCATGTTGGAAGGACATGGACACCCCTCGGTCGCTGGATGGCCGAGCACGAGCCACGTCTGCGCCGCAGAGCGGGAGAGAAGGCATGCCACTCCTTGACAAGAAACCCTGCCCCTGCCCCGACGCGTGGCCGCCACGATCGCCGCGGCGGCCTCGAAAGACCGGCCTGGAGATATTTGGTTCGGGGTCGGACATCCAGCAACGAGCTCCCTCCCGCTGCGCCCCCCTCTGAAGGCCTCCCACATAGGGTCCGAGTGGATGGGGCCAGAGGATCGCGCCGCATCGCCGTACATTGACAACCATATATCGTCAGCACGTTGTCTGCTATGCGCCACGTCTGCATCGCAGAGCGAAGGGAGAGGTTGGGAAGGGGCATGCCACCACCTGACAAAAACCGTGTCCCGAGTTGTGGCCGCCACGATCGCCGAGGCGACCTCCAAAACCGACCCGGAGGTTTGGTTTGGGGTTGGATATCACGCAACGACACGTGAGCGTTTTTTTACTCGGCGTTTCGACATTGGGCGGCAACAGGGGGGGAGGGGGGGGGGTCTGGCTCCAGACCTCGCTTAGTGCGACTGTGTTGCAGCAGTGCGGCCTCTGGGGGAGACTCCACCTGCTTGAAACAGGCGCCAAAAAACAGCCAAGATCTACTCCATGGGGGGGGGAGTGGGGGTTGGGGGGCCCGCGACGAGCAGCAAAACAATGAATAAAAAAACGATCACCACCACGCCTCAAAGTTCCACGCCCGCGATGGCACAGGGGGCAGGATCAGCCAGTATCGAATCGAGAACTCGGATCGAAGCGGGGCGTGCGTCGGATCGGGCCGAGCGGGCACGGAGCCGAAGTCGAATTGGAGGGGCCGCGCCAGGATGCACCACAGCGCCGCGCGAATTTCGGGCGCCGCGTCGGATCGCCAGAAGGTCGGAATCGGGCGGGATCGGTCCAGCCAGCCTCGATGCCGAATCGGACCGATCAGATCCACACTGACACTGACCTCGCCACTCGGGTCATAGCGCGGGTGTCGGGCGGCCGTGCGAGACGAGCCGGGGCACCCCCAGCACGTTCTCGGCGAGGGGCAGCTGCTGGAGCAAGACGATGACGATCTCGAACGAGGATGCGCAGACAAAAGCATTCATGGGCGGCGAAGAAGAATGCGATGGCAAAGGCAGGCACATGGCGGTCGGGGAAGCGCCATGCACGCGGTCCGCGCGGGTCTCTGTCTTCTTGCTGATCTCATGCTCGGCGTTCTCGATATTGTCAGCAAGCTGCTGAAACATCTGCTCGAAGGCATGCTGCGCCTCCGGGAGCAGGCCGGGGGGGCTGTGCCGACCGACGTGACCACGAGAAGGAGGAGGTGGACGTCGAGGAGGAGGGACAGCTGTAAGCCGTGCCTGGCTGTCCCCTTGGATGCTGACTGGGCCGCTCAGCAGGCGGGGATCAGAGGGGGCCTTCCTTGCCGGCGCGTGCCTGCCACAGTTTCGTCAGTGCGAGTTCTGCCCTGCCCAGGAGCAACTAGCCGGCCTTGCGACCCTCGCCGAAAAAAACAAGGCAGGCATCCTTCCGCGACGACCTCCTCCACCTCTCACCCCTGACCCCCTCCCCTCCCCACTTCATCCTCGCCCCCCTCCACAAGGAGATGGGAGGAGGAAGGGCGAGGAGGAGAAGAAGACGGGAATGAGAGAGAGGAGGGAAGGGGAGGAGGGGGGAGGAGGGAGAGAAGGACGAGGACGAGAAGGAGGAGAGGAGGGAGGAGGATAGGAGAGGGAGGATAGGGAAGGGAGGAGGAGGGGGGCCAAAGTAAACCCAAGACGCATCAACCCAACACCCTCCATCAAAGTTTCCTCTTCATAGGTTCATAAATACTGTATGCTCACTGCGGGAAATACCCCGTTGGAAAACAACCGTCTGGGAATCCTCACTCGCGCAGGAAAACCATTGGTGGGACTTCGACACCGCGAATCAACGTAACGATTGCGCCCTGAAAGTCCATGATCATGCCAGAACACTATCCCCTGGACGTCAACCATAAGAGCCCTTGAAACTGTTTAAGATGTTCCCAAACAAATTTCGGCGGCGCTGAAGCGAGAACCACATGTTGACAAAAAACATCCTGCATCGGTGAGGCACTTACAAACCGTGAAAACGAGTGCGCGCGGCGCTGACGCGAGAACCACATGTTGAAAAGAAGCCGCCCTACATCCGAGAAGCTCTGGCAAATTGTTGACACGGATGTGCGCGTCGTGTTGGCGAGATGCAGTTCGACAAGGAGCTGCCCTCCATCCGCGATTTGCAAAATTGCAACACGAATGTGCGCAGCGCTGGCCTCCGTCCGTGAAACTACTGCAAACTGTTAAAGCACAAATGTGCGCGGCCCTGGAAGCGAGGACCACATGTGGAAAAGGAACCGCCCTCCCACCGTGAAGCTCTGGCAAACGTTTGACGCGAATGTGTGGTGCTAAGGCGAAACCCACATCTTAAGAACGGCCCGCCCTCCATCCGTGAAACTCATACGAACTTTGAAGACGACAGTGCAAGGCGCTGAGACGATCGCCAGTTTGAAAGCGGCCCGCACCCCATACGTGGGACCCTTGCAAACTTGTGATAAGTTAAACTCTAAGATCGTCACTGGTGAAGGAATCTCAGGCGAAACGCCAGGCCCGTCATACCGACACGTCTCGGGGTGCGACAGGGAGGATTTGCTTATAAGGAAAGCGGATGGAGGGAGGGGGAGGCGGAGGGGGGAAGGGGGGAGGAGCAGGGAGGGAGGAGGAAGTAGCACATCGAACCAAGATCAGCTGTGACCCCTGGTCGCTCGGGCTGGAGCCCTTTCGCACCATATTGACCAAACCTCATTTCTCTCGAGGGGGGTTCGCGGGGCACGGCCTTGCGACACTCATCACTGAAGAGGCCCAGGGACACGCAAATAAATATACACAAGTCCCATAGATCCCCATATGTTGTCATATGTTGTGGATGTCCGTCTTCTCCTCCATGTTTCCCCCTATTCTCCCAGAAATCTACGTGTATTTTCCCGGATAGCTCTCCAAGGTCTTAAATGGTTTTAGATTAGAAGCCGGCAGCGCAGGGTGGCCAGGGAGCTCTTTCTGGCATCGGTCAAGCACCCTCGCAGCGGTTTGCTTGAAGCTGCAGCTTGTCCCGAGAGCGGTTTCCTACTCGTTCCCGATTCGCGTGCCGGAAGCCTTTTCCGCAGCTCCTTGGAAGCTCTTTAGAAGCTCCTGCGAAGCTCCTCTCTCGAGCTTGCAAGCTCCCCAGACATCCTTTCAAGAGTCCTTGCAAGCATCGTCCAGAGGCTTATCGCGCGCTTTCGAACTGCGTCGCTATCTGGGCTATGGACGCCACAAGTGCCCGTGCCAATCTTGATCTCCTGACTCGTCGGGCCTCCCGCGGGCTGCCTCCGAAGGCCCGCGCGGGAGAGCGCCCGAACATAAGAGAACGCCGCCAACGGGCGACCCTGCGGTTCTGCGGCGCCGCCAGCAGTCCGTGCCTCCCGTGCAGCACGGCGGCGGGGGGGGGGGCAGGGGAGGACGGGCGGAGGCTGAGCGGGAAAGGGGGGGAGCGGAGGGGGGGTCAGGGATGAGGGATCGCCCTGGGTCCGGAGACCCAGGCCGACTCCTGATCGAGGGAGCGGAGGCGGGGCAGGCGAGGAGGAGACCATTGGCGAAGCGATCCTTCAGAAGGCGGAGAGAGCGCGCCCTGCGGAACGCGAGGCCGCGCCGGCAGCCTCGGCGCCTCTGCTCCTGTCCCTGCGGTGTCCAATGCCAACACTGCAGGCACCCATGGGTCGGAGGCGCCGGCCCGCGAATGTGGGGGAGGGGGAGGGGG